AATAGTTAGAAAAATTTTAAGCAAGGGGAGAAAGACTTGTACACTGAAAACTAAAAACATTGCTGAAAGAAATTAAAGAAGACCTAAATAAATGGAAAAACATACCATGTTCATGAATTGGAAGGCTTAACATTGTTAAGATGACACTACTACCCAAAGCAGTCTACAGATTCAGTGCAATCCCTATCAAAACTTCAATGGTGATTTTTACAAAAATAGAAAAATCCATCCTAAAATTCATATGGAATCTCAAGTGACCCCAAATAACCAAAACAATCCTGAAAAAGAAGAAAAAAGCTAAGGATTTCACACTTGCTTATTTCGAAACTTACTACAAAGCTACAGCAATCAAAACAGTATGTTACTGGCATAGGATAGATATATTGATCAATGGAATAGAATAGAGAGCACGGAAATAAATCCTCACTTATACAGTCAATTGATTTTAGACAGGGGATCCAACACTAAGCAATAGGGAAAGGACAGTATTTCAAAAAATAATACTGGGAAAACTGTATATCCACATGCAAAAGAATGAAGTTGGACCCTTATCTTATACCATATATAAAAATTAACTCAAAATGGATCAAAGAGCTAAATTTAACAGCTAAGACTATAAAACACTTAGAAGAAAATATAAGTGAAAATCTTCGTGACCTTGGATTAGGCAATGATTTCTTAAGCATGACACCAAAGGCACAGGCAATAAAAGTAAAAATAGATACCTAGGACTTTATCTAAGTTAAAAAAAAAAAACTTCTGTATCAAAGGACACTATCAAGAGAGTGAAAAGACAACACACAGAATGGGAGAAGATATTTTCAAATGCTATATCTGATAAGGGTTTAGAATCCAGACTACATAAAGAACTCCTAAAACTAAACAAACAACAAAAAGACAAACAACCCAATTAAAAAATGGGTAAAGGACTTTTTCTTTTTTTACAAAGAAGATATACAAATGGCCAATAAGCACATGAAAACATGCTGAACACCATCAGTCATTAGGGAAATGCAAATCAAAACCACAATGAGATGGCAATTATCAAAAAAAAAAAACAAAAAACAAAAAACAAGTGTTGGCAAGGATGTGGAGAAATTGGAAAGCTTGTGCAGTGATGGTAGGAATGTAAACTGTTCCAGCCACTGTGGAAAACAGTTTGGTGGTTCTTCAAAAAGTTGAACTTAAAATTGTTATATAATCCAGCAATTCCATTCCTAGGTATATGCCCAAAAGAATTGAAAACGGACTCAAACAGATACATGTACACCAATGTTCATAGCAGCATTATTTTTTAAAAATATTTTATTGTTTTTGGTGACAGTTTACACAGAAACTTAGGTTCTCATTTAACAATTTCTATACATATTGTTCAGTGACGTTGGTTACATTTTTCACAATGTATCAGCAGTCTCATTATTTCCATTCTGCTTGCTCTGTTTTCCTTAATCTAGCTTTCCTATCCTCCCTTACCTGCTCATGTTTGGTCTAGAGAAAATGTTTACCATTTGGTTTCATCCAGATGATTATTTAGGGGAGCCCAGTACTCATGGGTGATATTATTTAACTCATGGGCAGATCTGTCACCTGGCTAAAAGGTGACCTCTGGAAGTGGTTTAAGTTGTAAGTTTAAAGGGTATCCCAGGGTGATGATCTTCGGGGCTCATCCAATTTCTACCAGTCCGGTAAGTCTGGTCTTTTTTTTTTTTTTTTTTTTTTAAGGAATTTGAGTTTTGTTCTACATTTTTCTCCCATTCTATCTGGGACCATTTATTGAGCCCCTGGTTGGAATAGTTAGTAGTGGTAGCCAGGCACCATCTAGTTCTCCAGTCTCAAGGTAAGTGAGGCCATTTTTTGTGTAGAATATTAGTTCTCCAGACCATAGCAGCACTATTTACAATAGTCAAAAGGTGGAAATAACCCGTGTCCATCAACAGATAAATGGATAAAGAAAATGTGGTATATACACACAATGGAATATTATTCAGCCATTAAAAGGAATGAAATTTTGATACATGCTACAACATGGATGAACCTTGAGAACATTATGCTGACTGAAATAAGCCAGACACAAAAGGACAAATATTGCATGATTCCACTTATATGAGGTATCTAGAATAGGCAAATTCATAGAGACAAAAAGTAGAATAATTGCTACCAGGGGCTGGGGGAAGGAGGGAGTGGGGAATTATTGTTCCATGGGTACAGTGTCTGTTTGGGATGATGAAAAAGTTCTGGAAATAGTTATACGACATTGTGAATATGATTAATGCCACTAAATTGTACACTTAAAATGGTGAAAATGGTAAATTTTATGTTATGTGTATTTTACCATAATTTAAAAAACGTTTTAAAAAGGACAGGTAATAACATGTGTTGGCAGGGATAAAAAAACATCTGGAACCTTCATATCCTGCTGGTGGGTTTGAAAAATAGTATAGCCTATTTGGAAGACAACTTGGCAGTTCCTCAGATTATTAAATATAGAGTTACCATGTGACCAAACAGTCCTGTCCTAGGGATCTACCCAAGACACATGAAGACATAAGTCCACACAAAAACTTGTACATGAATGTTCATAGCAGCATTATTCATAATTGCTAACAAGTGGAAAAAACAACCCACATGTCCATCAATTGTTGAATGGATAAACAAAATGTGGTATATCTATACAACGGATTATTATTCAGCCATAAAAAGGAATAAAGTATTATTGATACATGCTACAACATGGATGAACCTTGAAAACATTATGCTAAGTGAAAGAGGGCAATCGCAAAAGGCCACATATTATACGATTCCATTTATATGAAGTGTCTAGAATAGGCAAATCCATAGAAACAGAAAGTTGATTTGTGGTTGCCAGGGACTGAAGGCGGGGGATGGCAGTGACTGCTAATGGGTACAGGAAATCTTTTTGGGGGGACAAAAATGTTCCAAAATTAGATTGTGGTGATGATTTGTACAACCCTGTGAATATGCTAGAATTAAATGGGTAGATTGTATGTGTATGGTATGTGAATTATATCTTAATAAATCTGTTAAGATAATATTATTAAAACATAATAAATATATCCCATGGCAGGGAAAAGGTGTGGAACATGAGCCACTGCTCAGAAAGCAGAGGAAGACAGGAACTGAAGGGAGGGCCCAGCCCAGATAGGCTCTGCGGTTGTCTGTTGCCGGTTGTTGAGAACAACAACAACGGACGTGGACGAGAGGGTGGGAGCAGACAGCAGAGGTGGGGGCTAGGGCCAGAAGGGGAAACAAGTGCACCAGAAACGTGTCTGCTTCACGGTGTTGTCAAGGGCCAGACTTTGGACATCTCTAAAGGAAGTCTCAGAGCCTTGAGGCAGAGATTCTATGATGTCAGTCCCTGACCTTTGTGACACAGGCACTGGATGCCAGGGAGTACTACCCCAGGGAATGGGGTCTTCAGCTCCCAATGGGGGCGGCGCCGGGGTCGCCGCCCGTTGGACAAAGTCACAGTCTCCCAGAGGCTTTGCACCTGCTGGCCCCACTGCTACTGCTGCTGCTGCTGCTGGGCGTAATAAGCCATCTTAGTCGGGGCCAGACAGAGCCAGAGGACGGCAGCATTAGGGACAACAACTGGTCGTGGGAATCAGAGTGGCAGGACGCCAGGATGCTTGCTGAATCCCTGATTCGGGTTTAGGAGAACAGAATCTGTAACACAGAAGACCTCCGCCTGTCAGAAGGAGGACTGAGGGCAAGGCTCAGACAGAAATCTGGGTCAGACTCTAGGGTGACAGATGCTGGGGGAAGATGGAAGTGGAGCCACAGTGTGGTGACTGTTCCTCTCTCTCCCAGGTTCCCTCATTGCTGAAGCCCTTGTGAAACACAGTCCAGTGGAATCCTCGTTGGTAAGCATACACAGACGCAAACACCCTCAACTCCTAGCCCCATATCTACCCCATCCCCCAAGCCCACTCCTCTAACCCCACCCCACCTTTCCTACTCCCTACTCCTTTCCTCCCCGGCTCTCACCTTCCCTGGGCATTTTGCCAGCTCTTCTGACCCTAAAGACTGATGTAGATTTAGGGTCTTGGTGATTTCAGCCTGGAACTTGGCTTGAGGCAGACCACAGCGAGGTAAAAGTCTGCCGTGAGAAGTCTAGGGCCACTGTGAGTCCTTCTGACTCTGAAGAGAAGAGAAATAGCTCTGGAGCTGAGTAAGGTCAAGAAAATCACAGATCGCAGACCCTTACCACTAGGACAGTTTACAGATCACCTCATCCAAACCTCTCATTTGTGGAAGGGAAAAACAGATCCAAGGAGGGATTTGCCTAAGGACACCCTGATACCAAAAACCAAATTTGCTGCCATCGAGTGGATTCTGACTCCATGTTTCAGAGTAGAACTGCACTCCATAGGGTTTTCAATGGCTGTAATCTTACAGAAGTAGATCGAAGGCCTTTCTTTCACAGCGCCGCTGCGTGGATTTAAACCACCAACCTTTTGGTTTGTAGTTGAGCGCATACCATTGGCACCACCCAGTGACCTTGACATCCTGATAGTAAGAGTGGGACTGTGGAGAAGGGAAGAAGGAGACAGGAGAAAGAGGGAAAATATGGATGAGAGGGACCAATTGTCCCAGTATCTTGGGCTCTGTCTCTTTCTCCGCAGGTCCTACAGGCTGTGCCTTCCTCCTGCCCCACCTAGATAATCGCTGCTGCCCCTCAGCTCCTAAGAGGCAGCTCTGATCCTCCATCCCAACACATCCCTCTTCAATGGCTGACTGCAAAGAAATGAGAGGCCACGCTTAGACCCAAGCTCCCACCTGAGCACCCAGAGAGCCTGGTGCTGCAGGGCAAGGTATCCCCTTGGTCTGCCACCAGCACCTGCCCCAGGCTGGAGCCGCACTCTGAGCACAGAAGCAGGCCCTGATTTCTCATCAACTTCTGGCTTCGAGATTCTGGTCCTGCGTCTGCCAGGTCTCTCATCCCTGGTCTTGTCGCCCAGGTCGCTTCTGGATTCAAGGCAATGTTGCCTCAAAACAAGGACCAGGTGCTGCTACAAAACGCAGTGTCCCCTGGGCCCCCTGCTCAGGGCCTCTCACAACTTGTGGACTCCCCTCCCCCAAACCGACAGCCTCCCCCTCCCCATCAATCACTTCCTCCCTCCCATCCACATTTCCCCTCTTCCCCTCAATCCCAGCTACCATTCTCTCCTCCCCCACACTCCCACTCTCCAGACTCATGCTTCTCTTCTGACTCAAATTCTGACTCGGTCCCGCATCTGAACTCTTCCCCTCTCCCATCTTCCCCCACTTTCTTTCACCAGAATTATCCCTCTCTCTCCCTTCCGCGGTCATCCTCTCCCTCTAACCTGCTCTCCTCCTCTCCCTCTCAGCCACAGAACTCCTCTCTCCCCAGCTCACCTTGCTACTCTCCTTCCCATCCCGAAGGCCCACCTAGGCCCACACTTACTTCCCCCAGCCCCAGCCTACCTTCTGGGGTCCACTCTTCCAGGCAGACACGGCACTTGCATCAGTACAGGGACTCCGGGTCCCCTGGAGTGGTAGGGGGATGCGTGGCAAGCGAGAGGGACCCTGCAGAGTTCAGGGACCCAGGGGCCCTGGCCCAGGCCCTGGTAGTCCATCTGGGGCACCGCCGCATCGCACACGACCTGCGTCTACTGCTTTTGCAGCGCCTGTGGCTAGGCAGAACCGGCCAGGCCCCAGTCGTGGAGTATCCTATATGCCTGGTGTGTCTCCGTCCACGCAGCCCCTCCTGCCCCATCCCCAGGTACAGGACTGGGCCCCGGTTACTGGCCTTTCCCCAACTACTGCCCTGTGCACAGGGCCAGGAGTCTGGGCCGCTCCGCATAGGCATCGGCTTCGGCCTCCGCCTACCTCGGGGCCAGGCCAGGGCCTTGCATCTGTTGCCAGAAAGAAGTCTGGAGGAAGTAGGACGTCAGGGAGAGACTGCTCAGGCCCCTGGGTGTCAAGCCCGGGCAATTCGGGCACCAGCATCTCGAGCCACAGTGGCTCAGGCCCGGGCAGATACAGCCCCAGGCACACCTTCCCAGACCAGGAGTCTCAGGTCGCCAGGCCCTCAATCACTAAACTCCACACGCAGCTCAGGGCATCCCCTCCACGCACCAAGACGGGCCACTGCCTCTCTGAGGCCCAAGCCTTCCTCTGCCCCCAAGTCTGTCTCTTCAGAGCCCATTCCCCCAAGTTCACCATCCTAGTTCCAGAGCCACGGAGGGTTCCCGGAGCAACTCCTCCAAACACCACCCTCCCCACCAGGCCCCAGATCTCTGGGAGCCCCCGAGATACCCTAAAGGGCTGGCTGACTGGAGGACAGGTATGTTCTCCGGCTCTGAACCCTGGGAGCCCCTTGTGGAGTCTGCTGTCCCCTGGCTGAAGAGGACCAAGGGCACCAAGGCCCCATCCAGCCTTCAGTGTATCCAATAAAGCCTGACCCTGCAACACTTATGTTTGTGTCCTACTAAGAATGGGTGGCTATACCTACATCAGTGCCACTCCCCAAATGGGCCCTCTTAGGGGAGTCAAAGGAAACATAGAGCCCATATCACGGACCCAAGGAGGGCAAGGGCCCCACAAGGGCTGAGTGCCTGAGATGCACTTATGCTCTACCAGGCCCTTCATACATTTAATTCATCTCCATGGGATTGATACCAGCATCTGCAGAGCTGAAGCCACTGGGCCCATTCCTTTGGGTGCACCTTAGGTAACATGGATGCCTGCTGAGGCGACCAGTTCCGGGAGCAGGGAGTGTCTCCTTGCAGAGAAGATCATTCCTTGAGTCCACTCACAGGGGAATATGCTGGTCCTCAGACAGGAGACAAAAAACCCAAATGGGCAGGTGAGGTGTCAGGCAGAGATAGGCCTACTTGGAGCCACGTTACCTCCCCAACCTCCTGCACTCGGAGAAGCCAGGGTGTCAGAAGGTGGGCAGCCTTATCCCAAAACCTGCTCAGGAGTGGGAGTGCTCAAGAGTGGGAAGAAGAAGCCTCGAGAAAGGGAACGGAAGACTCCTGCCTCTGCTAACCATGGAGGATGGGTATTGTCTTAGTCATCTAGTGCTGCTATAACAAATACCACAAGTGGATGGCCTTAACAAAGAGAAATTTATTCTCTCACAGTCTCAGAGACTAGAAGTCCAAATTCAGGGCACTAGCTCCAGGGGAAGGCTTTCTCTCTCTGTCGGCTCTGGAGAAAGGTCCCTGGTTATCAAACTTCCCCTGGTCTAGGAGCTTCTCAGGCACAGGGAACCCGGGTCCAAAGGACTCGCTCTGCTCCCGGTGCTGCTCCCTTGCTGGTATGAAGTCCCCATGTCTTTTTTTAAATTTTTTTCCCATACAAAAATTTATACATACATTGTTATGTGATTCTAATTGCTCTCCCTATACTGTGACAGCACACTCCTCCCTTCCACCCCTGATTTCCCATGTCCATTCAACCAGCTCCTAATGCTCTCTGCCTTCCCATCTCACCTTCGGTACAGAAGCTGCCCGTTTAGTCTCTTGTATGTACTTAAGCTAAGAGGCACAGCTCCTCACAAGTATCTCTTTATGTCCCACAGTCCAGTCCAATCCCTGTCTGAAGACTTGGCTTCGGAAATTGTTTTAGTTCTGGGCTGATGGAGAATCCAGGGGCCATGCTTTCCGGGGTTCCTCCAGTTTCAGTCAGACCATTAAGTCTGGTCTTCTTACTAGAATTTGAGCTCTGCACCCGACCTTACTCCTGCTCCATCCAGGACTCTCTGTTGTGTTCCCTGTCAGGGCGGTCATTGGTGGTAGCGAGGCACCATCTAGTTCTTCTGGTCTCAGGCTGATGAAGTCTCTGGTGTATGTGGCTCTTTCTGTCTCTTGGGCTAATACTTTCCTTGTGTCTTTGATGTTCTTCATTCTCCTTTACTACAAGTGGTTGGGACCAATTGATGCATCTTAGATGGCCGCTTCCCAGACGCCACTCACCAAAGTAGGATGCAGAACATTTTCTTAATAAGCTTTGTTATGCTAATTGACCTAAATGTCCCCTGAAAGCATGGTACCGAGACCCCTACCCCTGCTACTCTGTCCCTCAAAGTGTTTGACTGTATTCAGGAAACTTCTTAGCTTTGGTTTAGCCCAGTTGTGCTGACTTCCCCTGTAGTGTGTGCTGTCCTTCCCTTCACCTAAGGTAATTCTTATCTACTATCTAGTTAGTAAATAACCTCATCCTCCCTCCCCACCCTTGTTAACTATCAAAGAATGTTTTCTTCTGTGTTTAAACTTTTTCTTGAGTTCTTATAATAGTGGTCTTATACAATATTTGTCCCTCTGTGACTGACTAAATTCACTCAGCATAATGATGAGGTCCCCATGTCTTTCTGCTCACTTCTCTTATATCTCAAAAGAGATTGGCTTAAAACACAACCTGATTGAGTCCTGCCTCATTAACATAACTGCCGCTAATCCCATCTCATTAACATCATAGAGATAGGATTTACAACACATAGGAAAATCACATTAGATGACAAAATGGTGGACAATCCCACAATACTGGGAATCGTGGTCTAGCCAAATTGATACGCATATTTTTGGGGGACAAAATCCGCACAAATCCATGACAGGTGTTAAGATAGATAGTGGCTTCCTCATACTAGTAAGCAGTGAATTCAGGGTTTGAAGGTCGTTTTGTCTGGTTTTGGAGGAGCCCTGGTGGCACAATGGTTAAAGCACTTGCCTGCTACCCAAAAGGTCAGTGGTTGGAACGTACTAGCTGCCCCACGGGAGAAAGATGTGGCAGTCTGCTTCCATATAGGTTACAGGCTTGCCCTGAGAGTATGGCCCCAGACGCTTTTAACTCAGTACTGAAGTCACTCCTGAGGTTCACCCTTCCCAAAGATTAGACAGGTCTATAGGGCCAACAATAACACACATGAGGGACGTTCTCCATACTTTAATCATGTATACGAGACTAATGGGCACACCAGCCCGAAAGCAAAGATGAGAAGGCAGGAAGGGACAGGAAAACTTGACAAACGGAAACAGGGAACCTGGGGTGGAGAAGGGGAGAGTGTTGACACATCGCGGGGTTGACAACCAACGTCGCAGAACAACTTGTGTATTAACTGTTTAATGAGAAACTAATTTGCTTTGTAAACTTCCACCTAAATCACAATTAAAAAAAAAAAAAAGATTACCTTCTTGGAAACCCTGTGGGGCAGTCCTACTCTGTCCTATAAGGTCCCTGTGAGTTGGAATTGCAGTAGATTTGGTTTCTTTGTCTGGTTTAAAGACCATGCTGCCTCCATTAAGAGGCGAGAGCCACAGGTCATGTTTCTGGTGTGTGACCTTGAACAAATCACTTTCTCTCTGGGTTAAAACGTAAAGGCTGTGCTTGTATGAGTCAGTGTATCATCCCTGAAGTATAAACAGCCTTAATCCAAGGTTATTTTTACTTAAAGGTTTATTAGCCTTTATTAGGAGTCCCTGGGTGGTGCAAGCGGTTAGGCACCTAGCTATTAACCTAAACGTTGGCTGTTCAACCTATCCAGAGGCACCTCTGAAGAAAGCCCTGGCGGTCTGCTTCCAAAAGGTCACAGCCATGAAAGCCCTACGGAGCACACTTCTATTGGTCGCCATCAGCCGGAACCAACTCCACTGGCAACCGGGCATTTTTGTCAGCCCCACCTCGTCTTTTCCATAATGACCAAAGGCATTCCTTGAAGGAAGAGGCACCTCCCACGCCCCGCACAAAGATGGCGGAGCCTGTCGTCGCAGGGGGCGGGACCGGCGCCCGTGTTGTGTCGCCTGGCCAACTAGTGCTGACGCGTATTAGTGGTTCTGCACTTGCGCGGGGAGAGCGGCTGGATAGGTCGCGTTCGCGCTGCGCATCTGGAGCGGGGTTAGGCGGCCGGGAGGCAGATGGGGCCTGTGTGTGGTTAGAGTATTGGCAGCCCCGCGGGTGTGAGAGGAGCCGGGGGTCCTCCAGGCGGCAACTGGACCAAGTTTCAACGGCGACCGGGGCAGGAGTCAGGCCGGGCATGTCCCAGGTGCCGCGGTGTGAGCAGTGAAGAGCGCCGGGCGGGATGGGCCGGCGTCGGGCGCCAGAATTATACCGGGCCCCGTTCCCGTTGTACGCGCTTCAGGTGGACGCCAGCGCGGGGCTGCTCATCGCGGCCGGCGGAGGAGGCGCCGCGAAGACAGGCATAAAGAATGGCGTGGTGAGACCGCAGGGCCACTGGGGCTGGGCTACTCCACGGCTAAGGGCGATTCCGGGGTGGCTGGGGGTCGCGGGGACGGGCCGTATCTCAGCTTCTGGCCCTGCCCATCCTTGGCGGGGATCCCCAGCAAGCCGGGCGCCCCGGCGCGAGTTTCATTCGGGCGGTTGAGAGACTCTTAAGGTGAAGTGAAAACTGCACACACCGCTGCGTAGGCAGGAGCGTTTCAACTCGACCTCAAGAGCAGCCACAGGGTCTTATTCTGTCCTTTTCCCGGGAGGCCACATAGGCCTGTCTGTGTGCCGACTAGCAGCGGTGAAAGCGGCGCATTTGGCCGCGGGCCATGTTCCTTCACTTTCTGAATCTCAATCTGTTGTTCTGTAAATTGGAGGTAATATTCCCAGCCCAGGTAAGATAAGGACTTCAGAAAGCCTTGTGAACTAGGAAGTGCAGTAAGCAAAGGGGTAAGGCCTCAGACTACAGATGTCAGTTTGCCCTGAGGTGTGCTCTGAGTACTCCTGAATCTTGCTCATCCTGGTTTCCTCTCTCAGCACTTTCTGCAGCTAGAGCAGATTAATGGGCGCCTGAGCGCCTCCTTGCTACACTCCCATGACACAGAGACACGGGCCACCATGAACTTGGCACTGGCTGGTGACATCCTTGCTGCAGGGCAGGATGCCCAGTGTCAGCTCCTGCGCTTCCAGACCCATTGGCAAAAGGGCAGCAACAAGGCAGAGAAGGCAGGTGAGGAGCCCTGTCTCTATCCCTTTGGAAACGAGATGAGTAAGATCACTCTCCTCTTGGTCTCTCTAAAAGAAGTGGGGTTATGGTAGCAGACTGGAAGCTGGATGTTCACCTGCCATGTGGAGAAAAGCTAGTGCTACTATAGAAGCCTGGGACCTGGCAGGCTGTTTGTATTGCAGGTTCCAAGGACCAGGGACCGCGACAAAGGAAGGGGGCAGCTCCAGCAGGGCAGAAATCTGGAGCAGAAACCCACTGTGAGGGGGTAGAACTCAGTGTCGAGGATTTGCAGGTGGTGCAGACAGACTTCAGCGCTGATCCACTGCAGAAAGTTGTATGCTTCAACCACGATAACACCCAGCTTGCCACTGGAGGGACGGATGGCTACATTCGTGTCTGGCAGGTGGGGTTTTTGGGGGGGGGTGGTTAGGGCGGGTGAGTCAGTAGCAGCAAGGCCAAAACTGTGAGAAACCAAATGTGTGTTCTGAGAAATGTGAGTGAAGCCTGCATTAAGTAGCCGTTAAAAGAGAAAAGGAGTGCTCCTGCTGGGTGCTTGGGCTAACCAGAGTGGTGGTTTGGCTGCAGGTACCTAGCCTGAAGAAAGTTCTGGAGTTCAAAGCCCACGAAGGGGAGATTGAGGACCTGGCTTTGGGGCCTGATGGCAAGGTGAGGAGGTGAAGGGGTGGAGGAAGTAGGTAGTTGTGCTGCTTGCTCGGTAAGTGGATCCCCTGACTGCCCATCCTTGGAATCTTTATTCCTGACTAGTTGGTAACTGTGGGCCAGGACTTTAAGGCCTCCGTGTGGCAGAAGGATCAGCTGGTGACACAGCTGCACTGGCAAGAGAATGGACCCACCTTTTCTAACATGCCTTACCGCTACCAGGCCTGCAGGTGTGAAGACCCCGGAAGGTGGTTAAAAGAGGCACAGCCCAGATGTGGTGGGGGGAATAGGGAAGCTGGGGAGGATTGTGGCCTTGGTGTGGGTGTCAGCCCAGGCCTGACCAGAATGCAGGAGGGCACAAACCTCCACAGGCAGGTGGGCAGGCCCTGGGAACTGAGCAGCCTATCTCCTGGCCCCAGGTTTGGGAGGGTTCCAGACCAGCCTGCTAGGCTGCGACTCTTCACGGTGCAGATTCCCCACAAGCGCCAGCGCCAGCCTCCGCCCTGCTACCTCACAGCCTGGGATGGTTCCACCTTCTTGCCCCTTCGGACCAAGTCCTGTGGCCATGAAGTCATCTCCTGCCTCAGTGTCAGGTGTGAGGCAGTGCTGGCTTGGCTGGGTATGGGGGAACCTGGGGAGCTTGGGAAAGAGTCCTGCCTGAACCCCTGAGGACTGCTGTTGGTGAACAAGGCTCTATGCAGAGGCCTCCAGGACAGTGAGCACTTTATTAATTTGTTGCAGTGAATCGGGCACGTTCCTAGGCCTGGGCATGGTCACTGGCTCTGTTGCCATCTACATAGCTTTCTCTCTCCAGGTAATGGGTGAAAGTGGGCACAACCCTGAGGGCTCTTTAGGGTGGGGACACTCAGTCTGCCTCTACCTAGAGTGTGCAGAAAGAAGTCTGGCCCACCCTGTAGAGGGAAAGCCTTCTGGGGACAGGAGGCATATTTTCCAGTGGGAAGCCTCCCAACTGGGCCTTCCCTCACTACTTCTCCTCCTGCCCCTAGCGCCTCTACTATGTGAGGGAAGCCCATGGCATTGTGGTGACAGATGTGGCCTTTCTGCCTGAGAAGGGTCGTGGTCCAGAGCTCCTTGGGTCTCATGAAACTGCCCTGTTCTCTGTAGCTGTGGACAGTCGTTGCCAGCTGCACCTGCTGCCCTCACGACGTGAGTCATTGGACCACCCTACCTTTAGCTGTAGCAGAATCTCATCCCCTGGAAAACTGTACCATCTGCTCCTCCTTGTGTGGAATAGGTTGAGGGTCCTGTTCTTCAGGCTGTGAAGCCCCTCTCACTGTTGACATCTTCCCTTACCCCTCCTGCAGGGAGTGTTCCTGTGTGGCTGCTGCTGCTGCTGTGCGTTGGGCTTATTATTGTGACCATCCTGCTGCTTCAAAGTGCCTTTCCAGGCTTTCTTTAGCCTCCCTTCCCCCTGGAAATCGGGGCTGGATGCTGTCTCTGTCTAGACAGAGTGGAGGCCTGGACTCCCCACTGATCACTCCATTTGGGTCTACAGCTGAGGTTGCCCCCACTGAGATGGACAGGCACTGCCTACCTTTCCCATTCAAGCTTGGCTGTGGCCCTGTGACTGTGGGAACCTTGCATTCATCATCTGTGGATTCACCCAGGACAGCGGTGTCTGAAGCCCAAGACAACTACCTGCCTTCTTCCCTCTGCCTACCAGAGACTCCAGAGTTGAGCTTGTCCTTTTCCGGAAATATGTGAAGATGCCCAAGAGCCTGGAGAAGCTGCCGTCCTTCCTGCAGAAGTCATCCGTTACTCTTCCTCCCCTCACAGCTTGTGGCCAGTGCTCTTCTCATGGAGCGCCTGGCATTTGTCGGGCAAGGACTGGCCTGGGACTTGCTGTTAGGGAAGGAAAAGGGCAAAAGATAAACCCAGGGAGGAATCCACGGGTCCAGCTGGGTAGTTCTAAGCCAGCCAGGCTAAATATGCAGTAAGTTCCTGGACAGTCTATCCCAGCCTTGAAGAAGGGGAAAATGAATCTAAGCCCATTAGGCAGGACAAGTTATTTAATAAATTAGAGAAGACTGAACTGAAACCCTAAATGGTGCTTTTATCAACTCTTGCCTCTCTCAGAAGGTAGGAGAGTCCTGAGGCTAAGCAGCTCCTCTGAGTGCCAGAAGATGGCTCTGGCGTACTGAGGCAAGACGCGGCTCATGTAGCAGTGGTGCCTGGGGAACAGCCCTTCCATGAAGCCAGTGTGGCCGTCTTGGGCTGTGATGAGCAGTGCAACGTGGGGAAAGTGTTGGGCAGCCTAGAGGGGAAAGGCTGGGGGTGGGGGTCAGAGAGGAAGTGAGGAACCTGGACTTTTACTGAGAGCTGGCCTCTCTCCACTTGTATCTCACGGCCCATCTTTCCCTGAGGCTTAAACATCAAAGTTCAGGGTACTCACTGCTGGCTGGGGAAAAGGGGTCGTCTGCAGCATTGAGGCAGAGTACAGGGACCCGGATGGCATCTACCTTGGTTCTTGGGCTTGCTGCTTGGTAGTAGGCAGCACAGTCTTGATAGCCAAAGGCCACGGTTGTGTAGTGCTCATCAAACTGGCGAATTGTGCGGGCCTGGGGGTGGTGGAGGTGGGTGGGAGAAGCTAGGGTGAGGAAGAGGAGTAGGAAAATGTTGGAAGAAGTAACTGGGGAGGAGGGAGTGCTTGAAAGATTATACCTATAGCACGAAGTCTACATCCACCACCTTTTCAATCACCTTTCTATTTCTGCAAAAGAGCAGATAGAGGTTTGGATCTAAAATTCCAATCTTCTTCCAAAAGCCCTCTCCCCTCCACCATCATTACTCCTGGACCTGACCCAGAGCCTCCAGCCCCAAGTCTATGTCTTACTATCTCTTGAGTGACAAAGCCCAGCTGTAGAACTTACTTGAGCACTGGGAGAACCTGGCCATCCTACCCTGTCGTCTGCCCCCTCCCCACCTGCCAAGACCCTACTGGCCCACAACTTGGCAGAGGCCAGCAGTGAGTTGCTGATTGAAGAGCAGTGAGTTGAGAGGGGTCTCCAGGGAGTGGGTAGTCTCAAAGGAATCCCAGCATGCAGAGAAAGTCAGTGCTGCCACCACCCCTGCAGCTTGCCCAGTCCGTGCCAGGTGGTTCAACACCAGTATCCTGCAGGGTTGGACCAGGAGCCATGAATGAAGGGTTTGCATTCATGAGTTGGGACAGGCGGAGAGGGAGAGGACAGTGGGGGTGGGGGTAAGACTAGGCCTTTGGGTTAAGCCCAGGCAGCCTTCACCCTCCGAGACCAGGCAGCCTTTACCCTCCAAGAGAAATGCCCACAACCAGAAGTGGAGCTTTGGAGTAGCGGTCCTTTATGTGCTTCACAACTGTCTCCAGATGTTCAGTACTCCCAGCACAATAGGCCCTGTGAGCCTGAGGGTAAACCGTATCATTGGGTAGGGAGGGAGGCCCTGGCCAGAAGGCAGGAAAAATTGCTTCTTGGCCTTTTGGCTAAGATCAAGTGCAGGGAAGGGATGAGAGAAGGAAGGGAAGTGGAGGAAGGATAAGTAGATAGAGCCCCAGAGCCAAGCATCTCTGATAGGGGTGGGGTGAAGGGCTGCTGCTTCATGCTGTGTGGGGAGGTGACTCACCAGCAGTTCTTCCCCACGGCAGCCCCAGTTATTAAATACAACAGCCCTGTGGCACATACAGGCACATCTTAGCCAGACCCTCCCTAGGAGCCCCTCTCCCTTCAGAAAGACCCCAGTCAAAAGGCCCCCTTCATATAGCACTCCACCCCATATCTATCAGGGTCTGAATTGACTTCTCCCTATTAAAGTTCTCAGACACCATTCCACTCCTAGGCTGTGCCCATCCTTACCTATAGCCATCCCTCAAAGCTTGGTTAGCTAGGTACAAGATACATGTCTCCTGGCTACTGCCTAAGATGCCAGGAAGCAGCAATACGATGGGCTGGGTGGTAGGGTCAGGGTATTGGCTCCTGTCATGCTGGCCAGCCGAGTCTAGCAGGAACTGTCCTCCATCCAGGGTTTGGAGGACTTCACTGTAGTTTTGGAGAGGGCACACAAAGACACTATTAGGAACCTGATGTACTTCACAAAGATTTTACTCCCCCGCCCCACCCACAAACAAGTCACACAACTTCCCATCAGCATCCTTTGAGGGCATGCTTTATGCAGAGCATTAAGCTTTAATGAGGTGGGACAGGGACACAGAAGACTACTACCTCAAGGTTGTGCAATTATATAGCCCTCCCATAAACATGCTTTCATTCTTACCTTCATGACACTGATGTATCTGGGGCAAAGATTACCGTCATTTTAACAAAGGCAGACAGGTAGGGGTCCCCTATATAGTTGCAGCTTCATGTTCACTCCCTTTGTCCCTTCTTACCTCCACTAAGAGACTTGGGGCCGAGACTGCATTAAGACGTGGAAGATGGTTTGTAGCCTCCCCTCAAAACACCACAGTGTAGGGTAGAATGTCTCCACAGTGACTGGACAGTGTTCTAGGAAGGCCAGAAACCTGAGCCCCGTCACCAGTTGAGGCCTCTATAATCACACACCATCTGCCTTACTCCCCTGACTTTGCACCCAGCCAGGGAGGCACCCAACACCAGAAGGTGAGTGACCCCCTCTCCAGAGGCCCACCTGGAGGGCCCTGCTTTGTCTATGGGTGCGACAGTCAACACATCTCAATCTGGAATGACAATATAGTCCAGCTAGCACCCCAAAGAACCTGTCCTGCAGTGTTGCCACTCTAGAATTGACCCTGAACTGACTCAGAACCAAGGCTAGGATCTGCTGCAGTTGATGGGTGCTGGCTGTCCCACTCAGCCTATCCATGCCCCAAACCCATTTTGGAGAGAGGCAGGTAATATAAGGCAGAAAAAGTGTCCAGCAGGAAGGAGAGGCTGGAGTTCTACGCAGGGACTGAAGAAATCAGCACTGTTCAATCTGTGACATTTGCCTTGCAGTTGGATTACCCAAACCCTGTCATCTTCCCAAGACTAGCTCTGGCCATTCTGGCTTCTGGCCTTAGCACCAATTGCCTGCACATTCCGGTTGTTCCCTAATGTGTGCGGTCACTACTGCTGAAGGGCTCCTTTCTACCACAGCATCTCATTTTCTTCTGGGGTCCCTGCTGCTAGACTATACTCTAAAGGAGAAATGATCCTAATATGAACAGATTTTCCCCTCTTTCATGCCACCCAGGGGGAAGGCAACAGGGATGGGATGACAGGGACAGGTGAGGTCAGTGGGCACTCAGCCCTGACTTTCACCCCCTCTGCTTGGTTCTTCTGGGTGGGCATCAAGTGAATGAGAGGACCTAGCTACGCAGAAGGCTGGAGGAGGAGCATGCTGTACAAAGCCAAAAGGCCTCAAAGTCAATAATGGAAATTGCATTTCTGTAGCAGGCCCTAAGGAACTTGGGAACCAGATTCCTATTTCTTCTACAGTCCCAATACTCAGAAGAACTAGAGAGGCTAAGTTGATAGTGTGATTGTGAGATGTGACTTGTACTATCGTCCTTAAGCCCTGGAATAACAATAGCTATGATTCATTGAGCACTTATGCAGGCACTGGGCACAACCATTTGAGATAGGATATTTCATAAGTAGTTTGCCCAAAGTCATACAGCAAGCAAGAGGCAAAGCAGGATTAATAATTATAATGATACTACCACTAATACTAGTAGGTAAAATTTGTTGAGTGTTCACTGTGTGCCAGGCTTTGCGCTAAGGACTTTACATGATTTTACCTCATCTTCACAACAGCTCTATGGGATAAGTACTATGGTCCGCCTGTGGGAACAGGTTTGAATGTTCAGTAACTTAAAGGTCATAAAGCTAGTTAGTGGCAGAACTGGGGACTCGATTTCAGGTCTGACTCTGGAGCCTGTGCCCTTAATGGTACTCTAAAACCAAAAAACAAACCAGTCGCCATCCCACTCATAGTGACCCTAAAGGACAGAGTAGAACTGCCCCCAAAGGGTTTCCAAGGCTGTAATTCTTTACGGAAGCAGACTGCCACATCTTTATCTTGGCGAGCAGCAGCTGGGTTTGAACCCCTGATCTTTCCGTTAGCAGCCAAACGGTTTAACCTCTGTGCCACCAGGCACAGAACCAACTCAAGTGGAGCCTGGCTGTAGCGCAAGGCTTGGGGGGCCCACTCATCCCAGCTCTCGCAAAGGGCTTGAGCCCCAGGCTAGAGGCTGCGCCCTAGACCCGAGTATCCCCAAACCCGCCAGCCAGAGCGCTGGACCCGCACGCACCTGGGGCACACATGCCCAGTAGTAGCCCAAGTAGAGGGCAGCGCCAAGACCCAAAAGCAGAGAAAAGGGCTCTGTCCAAGTGCCATTCTGGGGGCTCAGGGCTGAGCTCACCATCTTCTACTGCTGGGTGCCAAGTCCAACGCTCTAGGCTGGCTCCAGCTCCTCACTTCACTAGTCTCAGCTGACAGGAACACACAGGGCCCAGGCCGTCACACTCCATTGGACGGCCTGTGCACGTCCCGCCTCCACTGCCCAGTGGTTCGAGGAGCCACGCCCCCCCCTCCCCAGACCGCCTGTGCGCCAGTCGGCCTGAGAGACGAGGGGCGGTGCTAGCGCTTCGCTGGGCGGGCGAGGATCGCCCAGTGCTCTGCTAAGCAGAGTGACCTCTCGGTGAAGGCCCCGAGTCTGCGCCTCCCTGCTTTCCCTTCCCGGTTATTAGCGGTGTAGCCCCTTTCAAGGACAAGCTGGTGCCCCTGCAGCCGCCATCATGGTGAGGGGCACCTCCTGCTCCTACTTCCTCAAACGCTTCCCCGGCGACGGCAGACAACCTGGTTAGAGTCTCTCAGCCACTCACAGTCAGTCACACACAAGACACAGCCGCTCCTTGTGGTGTTATTCTGCACTGTCACACAGTACAACCATTCACAGTTACCCTCGCATCCAGGACACAGCCACTGGCATGGGTTCACCCTGCAGTCTCACACAGTGTTCAGCCACTCACAGTGATCCTCACACACTGGACACGACCATTCCCACTACGACACCCCACACTGTCACATACACAGATTTCAGCTACTCAGTGGGTGCCATTCCACACAAGTTCACGCACATACAGTCACTTATACAGTGTCAATCTGTGCTGTCTCGTACCCAAAATTCCTGCCGCAGGTTCATCCTACAACAAATATTCACTCCTCATTCACCCTTTACCAGGCACGTTGGATACCTCAGGGATACTGTTCTCAGTGGGATATAGAAACAGATAAGTAATCTATTACAGCAACCTTGTCTACAGATTAGAATCACCTGGGAGTTTTAAAAACTGCCAATGCCCAGGCCCCACCCACATAGAGTTGTTGTGGAGAGGACCTTGTTGTTGTTGGGTGCCGTCCAGTAGATTCTGACTCATAGTGACCCTATGTGACAGAGTAGAACGGCCCTATGGGATTTCCTAGGCATGGGATTTCTTTAAAGGAACAGATCACCAGGTCTTTCTCCTGAAGAGTGGCTGGGTGGTTCAAACCTCCAATCTTTTAGTTAGCAGATGAGCACTTAACCATTCTGCCTCCAGGGCTCCTTGGAGAGGATCCTAGGTATCAATATAATTTAAAAGCTGTCTAGGATATTCTAAGGTGTAGTCAGGGTTGATCCCCTGCAATAGAGTGTGGTGCTAGATAAGGGAAGCTGCCACGGGGGCACTGAGGAGGGGGACTAAACCTCAAGGGGGAGGGGGTCCTCAGGGAAAGTTTACCTGGATATCAAATGACAGTACATTTAAGGTGAAACCAAAATATAAGTAGGAGTTTCCCAGGCAAGTGGTGGGAGATGGGAGGGTGAGTAATTGTTCCAGAAGAGGAAACAGCATTGCGAAGGCCTGGAGGTGAGAGAGCACAACTTCTTAATGGACTGAGAAATTTGATGCAGCTGGAGCAGACCAGGTCATGAGCACCTACATAAAGGATGTTAGAGTTTACCCTAAGACAGGAAAGCCATGAAAGGGGTGGGTGACATCACCAGATTTATGTTTTAGAAGAATCATTCAGACTACCTGGAGAATGGATTGCAGAAGGGTGAGAATGGAAACAGAGAGGCCATTTGGGAGGCTGTTACTCGAACTTCAGGCACAGAAGATGGCTCCCTGGACTGGGGGATAGCCCCAGAGAGGAGTGAAGATCTTCAAGATAGGAAGCAGAGGGAAAATGCAGAACAGAATTTCAACTTCTAGTGGAATCCAGACTTTCTGGAGCCATTGAGACTGGATAACCCCAAAACTATTTCCCTGAGATAATCTTTAAACCTTAAACCAAATATAACCCCTGAAGTCTTTTTAAACCAAACAATAGTCTAGAATGTTTGTCTTGAGGACTGTGTTCTTTTAAGAACTATCTATATGGAATCAAATTGATGAATGCAACTCAAAAGATTAGGTAGGAAACTTAGGGGGCAGTGAGTTTATGTTAATGGGGGAGGAACAGTTTGGAAAAGGAGGGTGAGAATGGTTGCACAACTTGAAGAATGTAATCAATGTCACTGAACTGTACATGTAGAAATAGTTGTATTTTCTGCTGTGTATATTTTCAACAAAAAATAAACTTATGACTAGTGCTGCAATGAACATTCATGTACAAGTCTCTTTTTGAGTCTCTGCTTTCAAGTCTTTCACAATCGCCAAAAGGTGGAAACCACCTAAATGCCCATCAGCAGATGAATGGATAAACAAAATGTGGTATATACATATAATGGAATACTACTCAGCCAGTAGGAGAAATGAAGTCTTAATACATGCTATGGTATGGATGGAGCTTGAAGACATTATGCTGAACGAAATAAGCCAGTTACAAAAGAACAAATATTGTATGACCTTACCTATATAAAAACACAAGAAAAGACAAATATATAGAGACCAAAGTTTATTAGTGGTTACCAGGGGTGAGAGGGAGGGGGAAAAGGGAGGTTAATGTGATGGAAAAATCACACTGATTAAGGGTAGGGTTGCACAGCTGATTATTGCAATTGCTGTCAATAAGCTGTACACTTGCAAAAAGTTGAATTGGCAAAAGTTGTGTGATAGATATATTTACAACAACAACGGGGAAAAAAGTAGCTGCTGAGGCTGCTTATGTGCAACCAAACACCTCATGGGATTTGGTTCCTTGGTTTGGAGGTTTAAGGTCATGGTTTCATGGAACATCCCAGTTAATTGGCCTAATAACGTGTTTAGTGCTTCTGTTCTACCTCCTAGTTCGTTGAGTAGTGCCTAGGGTTTTAAAAACTTGCAAGGGGCCATCCAAAGCACAATAATTTGTCTCTATTCAGCTGGAGCAACAGAGGAAGGAGAGCCAGGAATAGGAGGAAGATATGGAATGTGTGTCTAGTTGCCTCCATGAACAACTGCCTCCTTTGTCATGAGACCAGAACTGGATGGTGCCTGGGTACCATTTCTGAACACTTTGATCAAATATTCCATAGAAGAATCCTGATCAAAAGGGGGAAAATGCAGAAGAGAATTTCAAATTCTCATGGACTCTAGACTTTCTGGAGCCATGGAGGATGGATAAACCCCTGAAACTATTGCCCTGAGATAATCTTTAACCATTAAACTAAAAATATCCACTGAAGTCATCTTAAAATCGATCTATAGTTTAGCTTAACTAGTAAAAAATGTCTGCCTTGAGCATTATGCTCTTTTAAGAACTATCTATATGGGATCAAACTGACAACAAGAACTCGAAAAATTAGATAGAAACCTTAGGCAGCAGTGAGTTCATGTTAATGAGGGAGGAACAACTCAGCAAAGGAAGATGAGAATGGTTGCACAACTTGAAGAATGTGATCAATGTCACTAAATTGTACATGTAGAAACGGTTGAATTGGTGTATGTTTTGCTGTGTATATGCTCAACAACAACAATGAAATAAATAAAACTTAGAAAAAAAAGATAGGAGGCAGAATCGATAGGTCTGGGTAGTAGGCTGGAGGTGAAGGAAGAAGGAGGAATCATGGATGAACTCCAGGTTTCTGACTGCTCAGATTGTAGGGATGGATGGCAGTGTCTCTGAGATAGGGAAATCTGAGGGAGGGGAAGGTTTGAGGGGAAAGATATGCATTCAGACTTAGACATGTAGAGTTTGGGGTGCGGGTAGGAAGTTCAAGTCCTGAAGTGGTCTGGGGCTTAGAGATTGAAGTTAGAGGTTTGGTAGACATCAGCTTTTAGATGGTGATAGAAGCCACATAAGGAGATGAACACGTGAGCAAATGGAGAGTGGGGAGAGAGAAAGTCCTGAGGAACACTGACACATGAAGGAAACTGAGAAGTGACCAGACAGGGTGGAATGATGTTACCAAAACTGATATGATGTTCTGAGGAGGCAGTGGCCAGCAGTGTCTACGGCAGGAAGGAGGGCAGGGATGACTTTGAGGAGAGTGAACTTGTCACTGTGGTGGATGCTGAGGGGAAGGAACTGGTGGAGAGAGAAAAGTTGAAAATTCTGGAAAGAGGTCATTCAAAGAACTACAACCCTGGGCCAATGGACAAGCATGTGGTCCCAAACCCAGGTGGAGGGACTGGCTATTGTGACAAAAATAGGTGATACTCCATTTTGACCACAAAGCAGCTACAGGCATGCACATCGACGCTCTGTGTGCTGGCAAATGGCTGCCACCATCACCCTTAAGATGATTCTTTCCTGGAAACTACATTACAGCCAAGCAATAGACCCATTGCCATCCAGTTGATTCCAACTCATAGTGACCCTATAGGATAGAGTAGAACTGCCCCATAGGGTTTCTTAAGGAGCAGCTCGTGGTTAGCAGCGGAGCTCTTAACCACTGAGCCACCAGGGCTCAAGCAATAGACGGGTCTGTAAAATAAGCAGTAACTTCTGAAAAGAACGAGATCCATAGAACAAACAACTATATGAGACCACAAGGACAACATTTGCCCAAAAGTAATGATAAGAAAGCAGGAAGGGGTAGGAAAACCAGATGAAAGGAAATGGGGAACCCAGGGAAAAAAGGAGGAAAGTGTTGACACAGTGTGGGGATTGCATCCAATGTCATGGAACACTTTGTTTACAATTTGTTGAACTGGGAAACTAATTTACTCTGTAAACTTTCACCTAAAACCCAATAAAATATTTTAAAAGTAAAGAAAAAAAAAAATGATACTTTCTCCAGACTCCCTCCCACACACATACCCTTTCTTTATGGAGCCACTCAGTGATGTGCATAGTTACAGGCACACAGTGACACCTTCACTGGAAACCAGTAGTCACAGCCCAGCATCACTTGAGCACGGCAAACAACTCAGAAAGAGTTCACCCAGACACCCCCAACACACATGCCACTAATAGCCTGTACTGCCACACACCTGCACAATCAGACCCACATTAGCCACACCCTGTCAAGCCCATACCCGGCATATTGGATATATAGTCACTCAAAACACCCTCTACTCTGTCACAAGTTCCTCTTACACACAGCCACATACACCAGTCACAATCACATTAAGTTGCATTCCATCTTGACACAAACAACTTGGTCTCAGAGGCAGAGCCAGTGGCACCCACAGCATCAACCAGTTAAACCTGCTTCTCATACACACCAGCCTCACCATCTGTCAGTGTCTCTGTCACGCATACACGCGCGCTCGCACGCACGCGCGCGCGCGCACACACACACACACACACACACACACACACACACACACACACACCGCCTTCTCTTCCTCCCCATCCTCCAGCCCTCCCGTCTTGGCGGGAGGAATCCGGAGGGCCGGGGTTCGGGTGGGGCGGCGTGGCGGCCCTACCAGCAGCCGCTGGCGCTGAGGACTCTGCTCGGGCCAGGGCGGCGGCTCCAGCCGGGAGGGCGACGTGGAGCGGCCACGTGGAGCGGCCCGGGGGAGGGCCCGGCTGCCGGGAGCCGAGGCGCGGCTGGCGGCGCAGCAGCCTCGGGTGACCAAGAAGCCAGACCCCCAGCCCCGCGGCGCCGCCGCAGCAGGTGGGTCCGAGCCCCGCTCCAGGCGGGCGAGCACAGGGCTGAGGGCCCGGGGACCCCAAACCCATCACCGCCATCGGGGGATGTGCGGTGCGATTGAAGTGGGCGGGCACAGGGCTGTGAGGAGTGGGTTCCTCCAGGGATCCCGAGCCCATCACAATCAGGGACAGTGGGGCGGGGGCCACCAGGGGTGAGCGGCCTCCTGGCCTCCGGGTCCGGATCCTAAAGCGCAGTTCCCTCTGCATCTTGGAGGCAGCTGGAGCGGTGGCCTCCGCCTCTGGCTACCACCTGGGAAGAGTTTATCCCTGAACGCAAGTGGAGGAAGGGGCTGGAAAGCAGATCCTGCCATCCCTTGGTTTGATGATGGGGTTTCACAATTCCCCAGTATCTCATCTGTTGCACCACCAGCCCTCTGACAGGGGGCATTTGACAGGTGAAGAAATGGAGCCATAGGTAGGGGGCAGTGGCTGGCCCAGGCTGTCACCCAGCTAGAAGTGGCCAGGCAGAGACGGCACTCAGGTGTGCCACCCCTTTTGCTGCCACCTCTCTTGGCACAGGGGGCACTGAAGGGGTAAATTAAGGGGGCCGATTCAGTTCAAAATAAGAACTTCCCAACAGTTAGGCTCAGCCAGAAATGAAATAAAAGGCCCAGTGGTCTCCTCTCCTGGAAAGATTCAAGCCAGCGGCTGGCTGGCCATTTGACACGGATGCTGTGGAATAAATTTTGCACCAGGTGGGATGTTACACAACATAACCTTAAGGGCCCCTGCAACATCCTAGAGTCTCTGAAATACTCAAGGCGCATCTGCTCACTGCCAGCCACTTGGCCCACAATATCTAATTGCACGCTCCCCAAACCCGTATGATGTAGACACTGGTATCCTCATTTTAAAACAAAGATCCCAGAGCTTAGAGAGGTGAAGACATCTGCCCAGATCATACAGTCGGCTGGTGCAAAGACTTGAAGAAATCCGAGGTCAGGGTCATTGGGAACAGATCAGTGAGTGTGTATGTGTGTGTGTGTAAAAATGGTGTGGGGGCAGCATCTGACCTCTTCTAACTTCACAAAAAGGAAGGAGAATCAAGATCAACAGCCCAAGTCTGATTGCTATGAGGTGGAGGTCAGACATGCCTCCTCTGCCCCCTTCTTTACCAATTTTGACACCAGCGGTCCCTGCCACAGCACTCTCTGCTGAGTTCCATAATTCATTGCAATAGCCACGCAGAACTCACAGACTAATAGGGTTTATTAGGGAAGTAAACAGGTTACAGTTCAAGTTCAGGAACACTCAGGATACAGTTCTTCTATCAGGACAGCCTCTTCTCAGCTGTGCCTGCGGGCATGCCTCTCTGGCCTTCGGCCTCTGCCCTGCTCGGGCAAGTGTTACAAAGCTCTTTTAGCTCTGCTGATAAATTTGCCAAGGCACCCTACTCTGCCAGTAAGCTTCGGCCCAAAGGTGCTCAGCTCTAGCTCCATAGGTTGGCAAACCTAGCTCCACCAAGTGCCCGGAAGCCTCCTACTGTGCCAGCAAGCCTCCTGCCCAAAGGCACTCAGCTTTCTGGCTCCAGGAGCCATGCCATCTCCTGCCAGGTCTCCTGGTTCTACTGCTGCTGTTCCTCTGCCGCTGCTTCTTGCCATCTTCAGTGTTACAGCTCTTTCTCTCTCATCTGCTGGTTCCAGGAGCTTCTCAATGGAGGGATCTCGGGTCCAAAAGACATGCTCTGCTCCTGGCTCTTCTTTGGTGGTGGGGAGAACTTCTCTTTCCTGCCTCTGACCTACTGGGGTAGCAAAACTGACAAATCCCTTCATGGTTCCACAGACCTTATTTGCATGGTTCCACCCCCACATGGGTGCCATGAACCTTATTTCCATTATTAGCAAGCTATCCAATCCCCTTGGTGGGCCATAATTACCTTATTTGTATAGTCCCACCCAATCACTTAGGTGAGAGTGTAAAAACAACTGGAGGCAGCGTCTGACCTCCTCTAACTTCACAAGGGGGAAGGAGAATCAAGATCAACAGCCCAAGGCTGATTCCTATGAGGCGGAGGTCCGACATGCCTCCTCTCTGCCATCTTTACCAATTCTGACACCAATCACCCCTCCCACATTACTCTCTACTTCTCTGCTAGGTTAGATAATTCATTGCAATGGCCGCACAGAACTCAGAGGCCATACTCACAGTTATGGGATTTATTAGGGCAGTAACAGGTTACAATTCAGGCTCAGGAACACTCAAGGATACAGTTCTTCCATCAACACAGCCTCTTTCCAGCCGTGCTCAAAGGCATGCCTCTTCCGGGCCCTAGGCCTCTGCCCAGGGGCACTCAGCTTTCTTGCTCTGTGGGCTGGGAAGCCAACTGCTGCTGGAAGTCTCTGCTGTTGAGACTTCTGCTGCTGGGTCTCTGCTGTTGGGTCTCTGCTGCCGGGTCTCTCCTGCCACCTTTTGTCACGATCTTCAGGGTCACAGCTCGCTCACTTTCTCTCCATCTCTGCTTCCAGGAGCTTCTCAGCACAAGGATCCCGGGTCCAAAGGACGTGCTGGCTCCTGGCTGTTCTTCCTTGGTGGCGGTGGGATTCTTCTCTTTTCCGCCTTTGGGATGGCTCACCTCAAGCCCAGCAGGATGGCAAAGCTGGCCAATCCCTTTGGTGGGCTACAATTACCATATCTGCACAGTCCTGCCCAATCACCTGGGTGGGAGTTACAAGACCATGGCGAGAAAGGCCATGTAAAAGCTATTCATTGCACCGAACTATGACTTGAATAACTTTATTAAATTACATCAGTTTTAATTAATAGTTGTGGTGGCTTTCATGTGGTCATTAGGATAAATTATGTTTATGTCCATTATAGTTATAGGAACTGTTTAGGAACATTTTTATTTGACAGGCTCAATTAGTAGGAGTCCTGGGGTGGTGCAAATAGTTAACACACTTGACTGCTAACTGAAAGATTGGAGGCTGGAGTCCACTCAGAGACACCACAGAAGAAAGGCCTGGAGACCTACTTTGGAAAAAAACAGCCTTTGAAAACCCTATGGAGCACAATTCTACCTGACACACGTAGAGTTGCCATGAGTTGGAATCAACTCAATGGCAACTGGTTTTCTTAGTTCAACAGCTGCTTTATTTCTGTTGCTCACAAAAGCTTTTCTAAATGCTTAGAAATGTGTGTGAACAAGTCGCATCATACCAACCTCAGAAAAGCAGGCGGTGCCTCTACCTGACTTTCTTTAAACAATGGAGGTGGGTTACTTGTACTAAAAGTGTCTCAGTTGGAAGCATTACTTAAGAGAATATTACTTAAATGGCATTAAAAGTTCACAGGCAATTTCATTTTTGACGTGGACTACAACCCAGTGGCAAATTGTATTTTTCTCCTTGTAGTTATGACATTTTTTGCTTTAGATATTTTGAGACTATGTTATTAGGTGTATACGAGTTTAGAATATTATATCTTTCTGGGGAATAACTTTTCATCATTTTTAAATAACACTGTTTTATCTATAATAATGCTTTTCACCTTTAAAGTCTATTTTGTCTGTTGTCAATACAGCTATACCAGATTTCACTTATCTACTATTGCCTTGTATATTCATCTTCCATTCTTTTGCTTTCAATCTTTATGTGTCTATTTATTCATTAATCTCTTGAAAATTGCATGTAACTATATTTTGCTCTATCTCTTTTGATAATCTCTATTTCTTAACTAATAAGTTTATACAATTTACATTTATTCTAATTATTGATATACTTAGATTTATTGCTACCATCTTATTGTATGCTTTCTATATGTTTTCTTCTTCTTGGGTCCTTTTTTTTCTCTTTTTCTGTCTTCCTTTGGATTGGTTTCTTAAAATTCCATTCTTTTTTTTTTTTTATCTCTACTAATGTGAAGTTATACATTCCATTTGTTTTTTTAGTGGTTATCCTCAAATTTTTAACATGCATATTTAACAAAGTTAATCAATATGTCTACTCTCTTCCTAAACAGCTATCCTCATCTTACATGATATTGTTGTCAGATATTGTCTAATAGTCTATGTTTGTTTAGACTTATTCACCTATTTACTGATTTCTTTGTGCATCATTTTTTTGCATTTCAAACCTTCCTTCTGGAATCATTTCCTTTTGTCTGAAATATATCCCTTAGAAGTTCCTTTAGTGAAGGAATATTGGTGTTAAACTCTCTGTTGTCTATCTAAAACCTCATTCTTGAAAGATAATTTTGCTGATAATAGAATTCTGTAATAGCAATATTTCCTCCTCTCTCAACACATTCAAATAATAGTGTACTTTGACATCACTATTGCTGTTGAGAAATCAGCTGTCAGTATAATTACTCTTCTTTTTAGGTAATTTATCTTTTCTTTCTGGCTGCTTTTAATATCTTCTCTTTTTCTTGCTGATGTATAATTTCACAACAATAGGTCTAGGCGTGAATTTCTGTTTATCTAATCTGTCTGGGATTGTTGGGCCTCCTGGATTTAAATACTAATGTTTTGCAACATCCTGGAAATCTCAGCTGTTCCTTGAATGCTGCTTCTACTGAATTTTCTGTTATCTCCTTCATCTTCCATGTTGCTTATCCTTTGTTTTATATTTTTTATCTTTGTAGCTCAATGGACTGCATTCTGGATAATTTATTCAGATCTATTTTCCAGTTCATTAATTCTCACAATGACTGTGTCTAATCTATTTAACTCACCCATTGCATTTTTTAAAATCAATCTTTTCTTTTTATTTCTAAAAGTTATTTTTGGTTCTTCAAATCTACTTGGTCATTTTGATGCTTTTATTTCTTTCTCATATTTTCAAGCTTCTCCATAATTTCTTAAAACATATTAAATATACTTTGTTATGGATTGAATTGTGTCACCCCCAAAAATGTGTAGGAATCCTAACCCCTGTGTCTATGGATATAATCCTGCCTGGGAATAGGATTTTCTCTCTTATGTTAATGACGCTATATCAGTATAGGGTGTATCCTAAACCTAATCATCTCTGAGTTATAAAAAGAGCAGGTTAGACGGAGACAAGGAAGCACAAACAGGGAAAAGACAGATGCCTGTGGAGATCGCCGAGAAACCAAGGAATGTTGGGGCTAGAGAAGCTGAGACAAGGATTTTCCCCCAGAACTGACAGAGAGAGAGACTTTTCCTAGAGCTGATGCCCTGAATTCAGATTTCTAGCCTCCTAAACTGTGAGAAAATAAATTTCTGTTTGTTAAAGCCACTCAGTTGT